ATTTTACAAATGGATGCCCATTGCTTTCTGACTTCAAATTGCCTCTGCATGACATTAAAGGTGCATTTATTCAGCTATTTGGCTCCAAGATCCAACCAATATATAGTGCTCTTGTGTTACCTATCTGCACTTAACCCTTGCCAGGAAATCCTGCCAGGTTCACTTGTCAGCAAAACAGAGAACATTCTGTTTTAAAAATAAAGTATGTTAAATTGAAAACAAAGAACAAATGTCAGTGCCATGACGGCAGTTAAAGCAGTTCCTGAATACAGCTCTTGGAGGTTTGCCCTCTATACAAAAGCCAATTTTCACTAAGCAGCAAATTAGAGCATGGGGGAACCAAGATTATTACATCTAACTGAAGGTACAGAATAAATTCAGATGGGTGGAATTTATTGGATTACTCTGTTTAGGGAATAGAAGTTAAACACCTCTAACGAAGCCATGAGATTCTTAATGAAGATGAGACTAGTTAAGGCCTCAGTTCTACATCTCATCCCAAAGAAGCCCATTTCTAAGATCATTATTACATTCAAATTGAGGTTTTCCCTTTTCTCCCTTCTGCCTTTTAAAACAAAATCCAAATGAACACTCCAAGAAAACCTGTCTCTAAGCTGAATAATATAAACCACATCCTTATGAGCTGAGAGGGTATCAGCAACCTGCTCTCATGCTATGTTTGAAAAGACACGTCTGAAAATTCATGCTGTTCATTTGCAAGACATAAAAGCTACTTGTGATGCCAGCACCAAGTAAACAGAAGAGAACCGTCCCTGTTCCGTTGATCTGTATCATACATCATAACAATATGTCTGTATTTCTCAAACACTGCATATCTGCTTCTCTGCCTAGTAGCAATCGTACATAACAAGTGATATCTAAATACATATTTCAGGAAAGATAAAAGCCCCAATATATGACAAGGAATATTATGACTAACAGAGAGATTATATTAATCATGAATAAAAAGATGATGTTTGATCCTACTTGTGCAGAAAGTTTTTAAAATTTGTTTTAAAAAATCTTTTAAATGAATTTCTATCCTCAAGGAAAATGATTAAAACCAGAAAAGCCTTGAGATGTCAGCTGGTGACATGTTTTTCTTCTTTATCTTTCTTTTTTTGTTGTTGTTGCTGTGAAAAAAAATAAATCTGAGAGAATACAGCAAAGTGCATCATTAACTTCTTATTAATTTTATAATACAAAGGCAATTCAGTTAAAATAGTAGTGCTGCAACTTTAAATTACAGAACTAGCTTGGTATTTAATGAGAGATTTAGCACAGCGGGGTTTCTGTTAAATTAAGTTGTGCCTTCACATCACAGTGGGAAAACAGGTGTATATTGGTTTAGAATTATGGAAATGTTGACTAATTCCAAGGCTTGTAATCAAACAGCAAGGCACCCTGCAATATTTTCTTCCAAGATTCTGCATTAATCATTTATGTCTGGTCTTATTTTCTTCATGTCCACTAAAAGGGTGCAGCTCAAAGGAGCAGATCAAGCACTGGTGTTTTCATGTCTCTGTTAAGGATGAGGTCCAGGCAAAAAGCAGAGATAGAGACATAGCACTGCAGGCTTTGCTCAAAAAGCTACTTAAATTAAACTGCACATGCAGCCTTGGAAGGGGCATAAATTTCACACTAAACCCACACTTTTTTGGCTTCACCGGTGCTGATCCAAAACCTGCTTACTGAGCTACATGGAGCAAGTCTGCATTTAAGAAATGAAGAGACTAAACCCAGAAATAATCTAGGCTCTATCAATAATGAGCACAGAGCTATTCTCCTCCACACCTCTGCAGCAGTGCAGGTTACACCTGAGTGCAGGTAAAACACAGATGAGTTCCAACAGCCACAGCATCCCTGCAGCCCCCTGCTCCTGCCTCTGCCAGGTTTCCTTACCTTACACTAATAAATCACCTGCCTTTGCCTCAGATTTTCTTCCTGGGCCATTTAAGGATGCCTTATCCCATGCATGGTGGTATGACAGCAAAAGGGGAAGGCACGGACTCTTTTGTTTCCAGGAGACACCTTATTGCTGAACCTCCTACTGGCCATACCTCGCTTACTGGAAGCAAGCTGACACTTGATGCCCAAATGAACCTGATCCAAATTCATCCCTTGTTGTAGCTCTGACAGAAGATTGCTTCCATTTGCTCTGAGACTATTTTACACACGGAACTATCCACTACTGATCCCTGCTTGTTTGGTAAAAGCTGCTTAGCAGGCAGGAGGAACACCACAGAAATTGCTAAAATTTATATAGGAGAACCCTGCTAACGTGAAGCATTTCCAGCACATGGGTCACAACTCTAAAGTGTGCTTAAATGAAGTTATTTTGGGAATGCACAGATGTGGCATAACAGTACCCCCATATATGCTGAATGTCAGCATACTGCATGTGCAAAATATAGAATCTGTCATAGAATATATGCTGAATCATTCTGAAAGACAAGTAGTAGAAATGTATTCAAGTTGCTTCTCTTTGTTAGAGGCTTCCCTTTAAAAAAGAAGGTATAACAACTTATCTCATAGTAAAATCTAAACATCTCTGGCTGTATCAGGAGTATTTTTAAAGCCAAGGCCTCAGTCATGGAAATGCAATTTCCATATATCCTTAAAAGAAAACTTTATAACCTCACAGTCAGGACAGGAAAAAACAGCTTGGAAAGATAAATCTTAAATGACAAAGAGCTAGAGAGGGCTTTAGAAATTTTTTTTTTTTTTTTTTTAACCTTATTTTAAAAGCATCGAAACACTAGCATCTTTAACTGCTGCCTGCTCATTAGCTGTGCAAAAGTGGGGGAGAAAATAATGCCCTGCTCAAGTAAGATGCAATGCAGAGCTGAGCCAGCTTTGTCACCTGTACATGGGGAAGTCAGAGAGGGAATCCGCCCCTCCAAGTCACCCACTGGGATAAATAAGATCTCTCAAAACACAGCAAGCAGCTTGGGGGACTCAGGGAAGAACAAAGAAAAGTAAAAGCAACTGAGGGAGCTGTATTTGTTTAGCCTGGAGAAAAGGAGGCTTGGGGTGACCTTATCACCCTCTTCAGCTCCCTGACAGGAGGCTGTAACCAGGTGGGGGTCAGGCTTTGCCCCCAGGCAATCAGTGACAGGATGAGAAGACATGTCCTCAAGCTGTACCAGGGGAGGTTCAGGTTGGACATCAGAATGAATGTCTTCACTGAAAGGGTGGTCAAGCATTGGAACAGGCTGTCCAAGGAAGTGGTGGAGTCATCATTTTTAGAAGTGTAAAAAAAAAACCAACCTGGATGTGGCACTTAGGGCTGTGATTTAATAGACATGGGGGTTTTTGGTCAAAGGTACTCAATGATCCTGGAGGTCTTTTCCAACATTTATGACTCCCTGATTGTATGATTCTAAACAGAGTCTGTCTAATTCTAAGGGGGGTGATGGGTAGATCTTGTGGTAGAGCTTGAGGGATGCTATCTGGGCAGGGTGCTGCTCCAGCAGCTTGGGATACCTCCATCCTACCCAGCCAGTCCACACAGCCATTTGACTCAAAGCATGATGGAGAGCAATTACTCAGTGAATTGGTTTAGGTGCAACATTGAATGAGGTTAGAGAGTTCTCATCCAAGGGCTCAGCATTTTCTGGCACTGGGGATGGAAACCAACAACTGGGGTTGCAGAGCCAGAGGGTGCTGAAATTCAGCCTGAGCTCCAAAGAGGACTCAAAGGGAATTGTTCCTCAGAGCCTTCCTTTCTCTCTCGAGGATGGCACATCCGTCCTCTACACCCTCAAGTGCCAAGACTCCCACTGGGAGGCTTGTGAAGTCTTGATACTGTCCCTTGCAAGGACCAGTTGCTGGAAAACATCATTTGAAGTGCCACAACTTCTCTCTCCTGTTTTCCTGTGGATGGCCTACCTTTGCAGATTTCCTACCACCATTCAATGCCATGAAGCATTTTCATTGCAAATGACAGAGGACTCCCATTTTACCTTTGGCAGGGCTCACAGGTAACTGTCCCATGACAGCACCTCTGTACACCGGTCATTTCCATGATGCATGAGGTGGCTTTCCTAATAGAAAATCACTTGCACAAAGTGAACTGGACAGATATAATTTTTCAAACACAGAGTGTCCAATTTTACACACAACACATAGGAACTAAGGGAGATATTGGCTATATAACTGTCAGTCCAGGCAATGCTCTATTTATTTACACAGTGTATTTATTTATTTTCATGTCTGTAACCATACACTACAAACATATACTTGAACACTTCTCCCGAATCAAGAGGGATATATCTCCATCCTTTATATTTTTTCTCTTCCATCCTCAAAGTATTCAGCAGAAGAAATGAAAATGGTGGTACAAGATTTCAGAGTTAAGACATGCAATTACCAGTGATATACTTCTCTCTAACCCTGTAATTTAAATATAAAATACCAGAGGAAAATGCAAGGTACCGTTTGTACAACACAACCACAACTATTTGGAACACTGGTGCCAGTGGGAGCAGGTGGTGAGGAGAGGTGATGTCAGGAGACAGGATGACTCTGCGCAAGCAGCTATGTGGTACCACACTCCACAACACCCTGAGATATGCAGGTTGTTTACAAACCATGTGGATAAAGGCTGCATTTAACAAAGTTTGGCTGTGTTTTGTCTTTTCCTCTTCTCTCCCTTTTCAAGCATGAAGCCCCAGTGGTGAAGTGTTTTTCTGCCATATGTTTTCTCTCCTCCCTCCCCCTTAAATAAATTTAAAAAGAGATCCACATTGCACTCTGGCCACTGTCTCTAGTCAGCAGGAATCAGTACCTTTTCCAGCCAAGTGACTTTCTAGAGTACAGCAACTGCCTTTGGACATGATGCCATTGCTACAGGACTGGCACCAACACAGGACACGCCATCAGCTTATCCACCCTCCTTGCAGAGGTCAAGGTCATTTGAGGCACCAAGCAGCATTGAGAGCAAAAGGGCTATTTTTCTGTCAATAAAATAATTAGGATCAAAAAGTAAATGTACTCACCCCAGGTAAAGTTTTAATATTGTGCAGTGCATTCTGTGCCTCAAGAGCAGCTTTTCTTGTATAAAATGTTACGAAACAACAACCTATAGAGAGAAATGAAAAGCTTTCAGAAATTAGTGAGTATGATTTGTGAGAGTACAATAGGGAGGGAGAAAAAACAGTGGTTGAACAACACATTATGAAAGCTGGAAATGTGAATTATCCTGAGGCGCCTGAATGACATGAATAAAAGAAAGCTTGTATGGTTTAAAATAAAAAATCCCCCCCTGTGCATTGCATCTATAGCACACCTGTATTGTTAGTGAGCTGTAATCATTTAGAAATTGTTAACCAAAATCCAATTGGCTTTGTACATTGTAAATAAGGTTATATTTTTCTGAAGGCTCCCCATTGTACTTTGAATATAAGCAACATGGCAAAGTCAAGCAGCAGGAATTCATTGTTACGTTCCAAACAGAAAATCAGGCTAAAGCAGGACCTTATTTAAAGGGCTTTATACAAAAGAGCTAAGGTTGGTTCCCTCCTTTCCTTGAAACCAGGCAGGACTGCAGGTGGAACACTCATCTCAGTTTCAAGAATGAAAAACAAGCTACATGTGAATTCACCACTGCTGGGATAGTGGAGGCTGCTGATGGCTGACAGCATTAAGGGAGGCTCTGCTCTCCCTGCAGCTGCCAAATTTTCAGTAGAGCAGGTAGTTTTAGTTGCCTTAGTCCTGTGGTTTCCTTTTGGCAGTATGATCCAGCCAGGTGGTGTGTGGGACCAAACATGGGTTGCTGTCACTTTATCCACTGCAAACATGTAAAGTAGCTTTTTCCGCAGCACACAGAACCCAGGCAGCTCAACACCAGCCCCAGGGTGAGGTCAGGGCTCACAGGCAGATCCTCAGGGAAGAGCTATAATGTCACAGGCAGGGGACAAAATGCAAGGACTAGGGTTTGCCTGTAATGCCCCATGGCAATGAAAATCTGCTCCTTGACAGATGAGATGTTTGCTGCAGATGGGGTGTTTGGTGACCCAACTGCTTTGGGGAGAGGGAAAACATTCTGGGCAATGCTGGTTGGGGGGCAGAAGTGGCTCCTGAAATAAAAACCTGCTTCGCATGAAACAGGATGATGCAGGTCTTACTGATGAATCAGAAAACAATCCTGTTCTCTTAATCACAGTCAGAGATTTGTTACAACTCCAGAGAAATGTCAAAACCAATCAGTAAATAAAAGAAACCCTGGCTCATGAGCCTTGGTGCTCCCTTGGAGCCTGACACACATAAAATAATCTGTGCTTCAGGCAGTGAGCAAAGATGATGTTTGTATCAACTCCCTAATGTTGGCCAGGGTGAAACATCCCAGCCCACCTGATATTCCTGCTTGCGTTCAACCCTGCCCCATCTCTGTAATGGCAAAGGACATGGGGAGAAGGTGTGCATAGCAGCACACAGAAAACATTGGAAGTAACCATGTGGAGTGGACCACTTTGGAAGGAAGGGCTGAATCCAGAAAGGGCCCCTCCACCGCCCCTTGCTTGGCTCAAGCTGTGCTTGGCATTGGGAATGCTCCCTCTGGCTCTGCAGCCAGGCCAGTGACAACCATTACCCCGGTAACAAGCAAAGGTGACCATGTATTCCCAGCTGGAACACAGCAAGTTTATCCCTAATACACAAAATCACTTGCAGGCACAGCAAAACATGGTCAGGCAGGTAATGCAGACTTAACAGCTGAGAGGAACATTTTTCATACTGCCAACAGGTTCTTTAAAATTTCACACTTTATGATGGAGATGGTTTAGTAATTATTTCAGTAAGCGGAACATTGTTTGCAGGGATGCGTGCTAGAGACAGGCATAGCCTGTTAAGGTTTGTGTTTCCTGTAAGTGTTTCTAAACCTTCTGTTTCACTGGAGAATTCTGAAAATCTGAATTATTTTGCCCCAGATGAAAATGAGAAAAAAATCCAAGTTCGTGACATTTAATAGTGTGATTTTGAGACAATATTGCAATATTTTTCTATCCTGTCAGCCAGCTCCAAGTCTATTTTCTATTGTTTCTTCTTTCGGCTTATTAGCTTTTTAATATAAGGCTTTTTAACCAGGAGAGAGGATTCAGAGGGGAAAATATCAAGCTGTAATCACAACTTTGCAATTGCTATGTCCTTTTCCATGGGCCCGAAGAGTTTCATTTTAGATTTCAGCTCTGTGGGTTCATTCCGATAAGGAGAAATTTGAAATCTATTGGTTTATCATTCTTGGCACTACTTGAAAGAGCTGCACTTGAAAGATGAATATGCTGTGAAATACCCTTTAACTGATCATTTTTGGGAAGTAATAGCTCAGGAGAGAAAAATGTTTCTGTGAATGAGGGCCGGAAGAAACAGTAGCTTAATGGGAAACGTGCAGATGTTTCAGGCAGGTCACTGGACCTTGACAAAAATAGAGACTTCTAAGCTCAAAGACTGACACATCTGAAAATGCTTACGGATAAAATTTTTCTCAGGACACATTTGGCTCATATCTTCTTAAATACAACAAACCCCACAACAAGAGCTTTGCTGTGGTGTGAGGGGGGCATGGACATCCGCTTGTGGACACCTGAATTTGAAGGTATCTGCTAAAGAGGTCAGGGCTGGACTCAAAAAGATAATAAGTCAACAGTGAGGAACAGAAAAGGCAATAGTCCATGTTTCCCCAAGGAAATGCTGTAGCCCAGCCTATGGATTTTCCAGAGGTGCTGCAGGCATGTTACAGAAACTGCATTGAAGAGGCCTCCCAATGTAAAATCCTTTGGGGTCAGTACATAGAAAAAGTACCTGGAATATTGGAGGGGAAGATGCCTGTGTAATAGGACAGGGCTAATCTGTGCTTTAGGACTGGTAGCTGTCCCCCTGCTGAAAGGCAAAGACCTTCCTTCCTCCATTTTACTGAAGAAAATGTATTATTGCCAAAGACAAACAAGTGTCCCAGCTAGAAAAGAAAAAGTATGTTTTCTACCGAAAGAAAATTAAAAAATACAACCTTCCTCTTCAGGCCTTATGCACATATAATCTTTGTTTCACCAACAAACTCAACAGCACCTTGTACCACAACTAGATTTTCTGACATCCAGATAACTCAGAGCTTGGCTTATAACCTTCTCCCCTCCTAGTCAGGACAACTTATAAGGTGAATTGGTTTGTGGACATGGTTCTGCCAGTCCTCTACAGCGTGAAATACAGCCCAGTTTAACTCCACACAGGTTAGTGTATTCTTGCCCACAGGCAGAGGAGCTCATGCTGCCAGTCAGTGCCTCCAGAGCAGCAAATCTCCCACGCTCTGCTAAGCTGGTTGTGCTCTACTTGGAACAGTATTTACTACAGCGTAAGGCATTTCTTCTTTGTACCTTGAAAAAAATTCTGAATGAATCATGCAGATCCCTACAGTCCCTTAAGGACATCGGCAACAACTTCATGGCTATCCTGCCAGATGCTTGAACAGACTGAATAAAACCTGCCACTCCATGCTGCTCGGCGTTTAATGGCAACAAATGGGATGCCTGAGAAACAACAGCAGAAAACAGCCCTACTTCTCCAGGCATCTGACGAGCGCTGCAGTGTGGACACTACAATGCTCAACTTCAACACCTCATTAAAGAAAGGGAAAAGATCTCTTACTTCAGCTTGTTTTCATTCTCTCTCTCTCTTCCCCTCCTCCCCATTTCCCCTTTTTTTTTCTTTTTTAAAAGGAAATTTAGTGCCAGAGAAAGACCTCAAGGTCCCAGCCACTGGGAGAGAGTTGACACATTCAATTCTCCATGACACATTCAATTCACAAGCCCTTGCTCAGGCTGCCAAAGGCACCAATTAGCACCAGTGGTAGGGATTTTATTTATTTAATTTCCACAGAAACCTGTTTAGCAATACAGTGTCAGGGACAAACAGCCTTGTGTATGGCTAGAAACAGCTTTATGTGAGTCACTGTCAAAGATGGCAGCAATGGATTACAGGGGAATGAAGCCCGGGGTTCACTGAAACCATCATTCAGAAGCGAGGAATGGGAAAAAGGTCAAGTGGTGAGGACTTTCATACCACAGTAGCCATGATTTTCTGCTGACAGTGAATTTGGGTTTCTTGAGGACTTTATGGAGCTACAACAAATTGCAGCTTCCACCATGAAATGTCAAGAAATGCCATTCCTCCTGTAAGCAAGAGGAATTTTTCAAAGAGCTGTTAGTGACCCCATGCAATGGGGCTTCTTCTCCCATGTGACTTCTGCTTTATGACCCAAATTTGCCTCCCAGCAGAGCAGTCACAGCTTTGTTAGGCTGCAAGATCCAGCTCTACGCCATCTCTAGGAGCTCTGCCATGCCATTATTTTCCTCACTTTCTCCCAATTCAAACACAGACTAATTATGCCGTGAGAGCTGTTTACATTCCTAATTTTGAACAACTAACAAAGGGAAGCTCTCCTCCACTTGAAGATGTGGCTTACACAGTCCTTGTTGGCATTTAACGGCACTGGGATCTGTGTAAGAGGCTTAATCTCTCAGCCAGGATTTCATGCCTGAATGAATACAGCAACCTCCATCTTGCTTCGGGTGAGAAAAAGTCTTTTACAGCTCCCTAAACTGAATAGACAATTCCTGTGTTAAAGTTAGCAAGAATTACACATGTGCATCTATATGAGAAAACAACCCTTGGATGTGGACAGGAATTAAAACACATTCCACAAGATGCTCTGAGGTCTTGATTTGCTTAAAGAAAAATATTCTGCAATCTCCCAGGCCTGAAAATTTAACTTTTGGGAATTAAAAGAGACAAGATACAGGAGGGAAAAGAAAAAAAAAAGCCAAACCCATATTTATTGGTCTGATATATTAGTTTCTTTAGTTTTCAACTGTCAAAATTTGTCAGTTTGGATCTCTCCTGTGTTGTGCATATTATCACCTGCTGCCAGTACCTGAACCCTAACCATGGGGTATAGAAATACAAGAGCTTATCAGGGTGCCTGCAAAGACTGCAACAACTTAAAAGTATGAAATTTGCTTTACCTTCTAGACTAATAAAATAAACACTTCAAAACAGCTATAATGATTATCTGATGATTGAACTCTGTAT